AAATGGTTTTAGATCCTTGATCAAATATAAGTTGGCTGTAGATGTTTGGGTTGATTTCTGGTGTTTCAATTCTGTTCCATTGGTCTATCCATCTGTTTCTGTACCAGTACCATGCTTTTTTGATTACAACTGCCCTGTAGTATGTCCTGAAATCTGGTATTTTGTTGTACAAGATTGCTTTAGCCATTCGAGGTCTCCTGCATCTCCATATGAATTTCAGTATCATTTTTTCCAGATCTGAGAAGAATGTCTTTGGTATCTTGATTGGGATTGCATTGAATCTATAAATTGCTTTTGGGAGAATGGACATTTTAATGATGTTGATTATTCCAGTCCATGGCTATGGAAGATTTTTCCATTTTTTGGTACCCTCTTCTATTTCTTCTTTAAGATTTTGTAATTCTCATCGTAGAGATCTTTAACATCCTTGGTTAAGTTTATTCCAAGGTATTTGATTGTTTTTGTAGCTATTGTGAATGGGATTCATCTCAGAATTTCTTTCTCAACTGTGGCATTGCCTGTGTATACAAAGGCTGTTGATTTTTGTGCATTGATTTTATATCCTGCTACTTTGCCAAACTCTTGTATGAGTTCCAATAGTCTCTTAGTAGAATTCTTTGGATCCTCTAAGTAAAGAATCATATCATCTTCAAAGAGGGATAGTTTGACTTCTTCCTTCCCAATTTGTATCCCTTTAATTTCTTTTTCTTGCCTGATGGCTCTGTCTAAAACATCTAGAACTATGTTGAATAGCAGTGGTGAGAGTGGGCATCCCTGTCTGGTACCAGATCTCAGTGGCATGCACCAACTTATTTTAAAAAATGAAACCTGTGATTTTCAGTTTCTGCCTACATTGATAGAATGTTATACAAGAAAAGCATCTTGTTAATTTTTGTGGCAACAAATTTGCTGTGTTTCCAGTGCACATTGTTATTGGCAAAGCTGATGATCAAAAAATAGTAAGAATCACTAGAAGGACATTCAGCCTAGTGATTAAGATGCTCATTAAGAGACCCACACATCGGGACCGGTGCTGTGGTGCAGCAGGTTAAAGCCCTGGCCTGATGGGCCAGCATCCCATATGGGTACCGGTTCTAGTCCAGGCTGCTCCTCTTTTGATCCAGTTCTCTGCTATGGCCTGGGATAGCAGTAGAAGATGGCCCAAGTTCGTGGGCCCCTGCACCCACATAGGAGACCCAGAAGAAGCTCCTGGCCCCTGGCTTTGGATTGGCACAGCTCTGGCCATGGCAGCCATCTGGGGAGTGAACCAGTGGATGGAAGACCTCTCTCTCTGTCTCTCTCTCTCTGTGACTCTGTCTTTCAAATAAATACAACGCATATTTACAAAAAAAAGAAACCTACCTCATTGTACCTAGGTTCAGTTCTTCCTGTCTTTAGCTCCTAATTCCAGCTTCCTGCTAATGCAGACTCTAGAAGGCACCAGTGATGGCTCAAGTAAGTCAATTCCTGCTAGCCACAGCCACATGGGAATCCTTCGTTGCATTTCCAGCTCCCAGATTCAGTCCCTACCTTGTTCATCCCAGTTGGTTGCAAGAATTTTGGGAATGAACCAAAAAATGGGAGTACCATCTGTGTCTCAGCCTCTCCAGAAATTTAAAGACTTTGAAGATGTATTCAGTATTGAAAGGCAGAGTGACAGAGAGGGAGACACAGAGAGATCTTCCATCCACTGGTTCACTTCCTAGAAGGCCACAGCAGCCATGTGTGGAACTCCATCATGATTTCCCGCATGTGGTACAAGGACCCATGCACTTGGGGTGCCTTCAGCCTTTGCAGGCACATTAGGAGGAAGGCAGATATGCAGTGGAGGAGCCAGGACATTGTTGACAGCCTAAACCATAGTGCCATGATGCTGTCACCACAAAATAAATAACGTTAAAAATCTTTTAAATGCATAATGAGAACACTGGAGTTGCTCCAGTGGTGGGGGAAGACAGGGAGCCCGCCAGCCAAGGACATGTTACAGGCTGGCACATGGACATGTTACAGGCTGAACCTACTAGGTCCCTGCTGTCTGGCAGGGGGCACTGTGGAGTAAAGTATGCTCAAATGATTGAGTACGGTCAGGCTTTGGTGGTACCAGGCAAGGCTGATGTTTTTGCACCTGGCAAGCAGCAGAATTTGGCCCAAATGCTTGCCCCATTTCCACTATGTGGGAGACCCAGCTGGAATTCCTAACTCAAGGCTTTGGCTTGGCCCAACCATGATGGTTGAAGTCATTTGCTGAATGAACCAGTAGATGGAAAATCTCTCTCTCTGTTTCTGGCCTTCCAGAGAAATAAGCCTTTTTTTTAAAAGGTCCCTCCTTCCAATGCCATTGCACTGGGGGCTAAGTTTCCAGCACAGGTATTTTGGGAGGACATTTGAGCCACAGCATTCTTTCACGGAATCAGCCAGCGGTGCAGACAGGTGAGGGCTTTACAACCTTCCTGCAAGACAGCTCTATTGGGTGGGCCAGAGAGTGGGGCCAGGAGGAAAGACTCTGTTCTGTCCCACAAGGACCACAGGCAGGGCATGGCAGCTGAGAGGCCCCCATCCTGTAATTGGTTAAGGAGAAGCAGCCACTCTTTTCAGCCAGGAGAGAATCCTGGGCTCCCATCCCTTCAGTTCAGCCACAGGCTTCCTGCTCAGGGGTCAGTCCTTGTGGACACCAGTGTGTTGGGCTCCACAGCCCCCTGGCCCACATGATGGAAACTTTCCAATAGGATTAGTCCTTCCCTGGTAGCTGTCACACAGTCCAATGCTTTCTGACACAGGATCTGCAGAGCAGACACATGAGCACAAGAGACAGGGAGGCTTTTGTATTGAACACTGCCATCTAATTTCAATGTTCAGACAGCTGGAGGCCACAAGACGAGGGGTTCTCCTGAGTAAGAGGTGTGCCACAGGTTGGAGGGCGGAGGAGAGGATCAGACAGACGGGAGGGTCTGCAGATGAAGAGACTAAGGAATCAGGTCTGGAGGCCAGAGAAAGGCAGGAAGCAGGTTGGCAAGGGGGTCCTGCATCCATGGCCATGTGTCCCTCGTCAGACACTGCCTGGGCGGTAGGACAGCAGCAGCTATGAGGGTCCACATCCCTAGGGCTTAGATAATCTGGCCAAGAGGTGCAGGGAAAGGCAGGAATGCAGGCAAAATGGTCCCCCGGAGACAGCTGTAAGCCCCAAGAGGAGAGACTGGCATGGAAAGAAATACCCATGGGCTTTTTAAAAAAGATTTTTCTTTCTATTTATTTATTTGAGAGGGACAGACAAAGAGAAAAGTCTTCCATCTTCTGGTTCACTGCCCTGATGGCTGCAATGGCCAATGCTGAGCCCATTTAAAGCCAGGAGCCAGGAGCTTCTTCTGGGTCTCTCATGTGGGTGTAAGGGCCCAAGGTCTTGGGCCACCTTCTACTGCTTTTCCAGGCCATAGCAGAGAGCTGGACTGGAAGAGGAGCATCTGGTACCAAAACTGGCACCCATATAGGATGCTGGCACTGCAGATGGAGGATTAATCTACTGCGCTACAGCACCTGCCCCAATATCCACGGGTGGTTCTTCTGCACCCTGGGCAGTGGCCCTGCTGGTGTCTCCTGTTTCCTCTTCTGTGTCCTCTGCTTTCCTTGTTGCTGGACACTGGAAGGGCAGCAGTCAAATGAATAATCCCTACAGCTGGCACAGGGTTAAAGGAGGAGGCTGTGTGCTGCTCTGCTGTGGGTGGCCATTGCTTCATCCCCAACATGCTCTTGATGCTCCACAGCCCTGTTGCTTCTCCCTGTCATGGTCTTTCCTGGTGACCCCGTTACTTGTCTTGGTGGGGACTGTAGTGGTTGTACTTTGCTGGAAGTGTTCGCTGAGCTGCAGGGATGGTGGTGAGTTTGTTCTGCCAGTGAGGCCTGCACAGAGGCATGAGCACCTGAATCAAAGGCAGCACCTCAGGGTGGCACAGTGAACTCAGGGTGGTGATCAGAGAGACCTGCACCCCTGCAGAAAGATCCTGGGGCCCTTCCCTTATGTCCTACCCATCAGTCCAGTACCACAGACAGGTGCTGACCCTGACCTGACAGAGGAACTTGGCAGGCTGAGTAAATGGGATCAAAGCAGCTGAGCTCTCTGGTCAAGGGCAGAAGTGAGGACAGAGTTTGCATGGGGAACTCCCTTAGGGATGTGGAGTCACATGGGGTGCTTGGATAGACAGCTAAACTCTCACCCTTCACCTTTGGCTGGGAACTCTGCCAAAACCTAAGTGAACAATCCTGGGGATCTTCTGGACAAAAACAAAAGCTATAGGACTGTATTGTGAGTGAGGGCTGATTCCCTTGAGGTCCCAGAGATGGCCTGGTCATATCCTGGAGGGGTAGGCAGTCCCCCATTCTAGACCTTGTGCCAACCATGATTAGATGTGAACCCAAGTCCAGCCCTCACTCTGAGACCCAGAGGCTTGTGGGGCTTGTGGATATCACTGAAGCAGCTGAGCAGCAGCCCTGCAAGTTGATGCCTCCTCATTGCTCCTCACCCAGTTCTGTTGCCTGTCACATGGGCAGTTGGTTTGGAATGTCCTGGCTTCTGACCGTTGGGAACTGAGCAGTGTACTGGTCACTCCAGGTGGTCCCTGACCACAGTGATGCCTCAATGCAGGGTGGTAGGTTGAGCCATGTGCTATGGGGGGATGGACACTGTGTGGACCCCCTGATTCTTCAGCGGGGCTGCATGTCAGGGAAGTATTTGCATTTTGGTCAGGGATTGAAATATTGAGCCATGAGGTTAGTTGGGATTTGGGGTCATGTACATCTTCAAGGACATCAGCTGTGTCTTGCAACCCCCCAGGAGATTTTTGGAAAGTGTGGGAGGACAGTCCTTGGTTCCATGGCCAGGGTAGCATCTGTGGTCTCAGGGTTCAGGGATCTCCATGCTTAGGGAATCCAGCTGTACATTCACCTTAAGATTCACAAATCATCAGTGAAGTAAATCTGGGGAAGTCATTTAATCTCATTTATTTCAGTGCCTTGAAACCATCAGAAGTCACAGCCGCTATTCTGCCTACACTACATCTCAAGACCATAGGTTTTGTTCGTGAGCTGTGAAGAATCAGTCCCATGCCAGTGTGGAAGAGAAAGCCCTATTTTCTGATTTGTCACCTGTGAGGACCCTCCTCTGAGGACACTAGCACTCAGGTCTCCTTAACTCTACTGGATACTTGGGAAGTGAATACTTATGTCAATGGCTCTTATGACATAGCAGCCAATTTTTTCAGGCTTTGAATTAACTTATTTTTAACCTCACAGTCATCCTAATACACAGGCCCTTCAACATTTCCACATGTGAAAGTGGGCCACTTCCACTTTTGTTGCTGCTGTGAATACTGCCACTATGAACATTTGCTTCAGATTGTTACATGAAGGAAAGATTTTTTTTCCTGCTTAGATATCCCTGAGCAGAATATCTGGACCACACAGCAGCCCTGTGTTTAACTTTCTGAGAAAGTGTCACACTTCTGGGGGGATTAGCTGAAGCAGTGTTTGAAGTTCCCAATTTTGCGACCTCACTGGCAGCACTTTTCTGAACAATTTGCAGGCATCCTAGTGTTGATCTCTCAGGTCCTTTATACATAGTGTTTCACTCTTGTGAGTCTCTCTTTGGCCTTCAGCTTATTATGATATGAAATTATAATGCCAGGGTACATTGAACTTCCTGGTTATTTTTTAATTGCATAGACAGAATCAAACAGATGTCCTCTGCTGGTTCACTTCTAAAATGCTTGCTACAACTACAGGAGCCAAAGCTGGGAACTGAGAACTTGATCCACGTCTTCCATGTGGCTGGAAAGCACCCAACTTCTTGAGCCATCACCACTGTCTCCCAGGATGCACATGGGCGGGAACTAGAGACAGAGGTAGGGGATCAAATGCAAGAATTCCTATGTGGGACATGGATGTCCTAAGCATTAGCTTAATGACTAGGGCTAATACCCAACATTTGCATATTGTGGTTGCAGGTTTTAAAAACACTGGGGGAAGCTTAGGATATAATTTATGTAGTCTTGCCATCCTATTCTCTCTATCATCTCTCAGTGGGACTCAGTGACTATGTGGTATTCTTAGTAGTGTTCCACAGGTCTCTGGAACTCTATTTATTTGCTAACTATTCATTAGACTGGGTCATCTGAAGGGACTAATCCACAAGTTCACTGATGCTTTTGCCTCCTCAAAGGCCTATTATAGGTAGAGTTATGTCCTCTATGTTCAAGTCCTAGCCCTCAGGGTATGTGTATGCATTTTTTTTTGGAAAAAAAGGTATTCACAGGTAGAATCAGTGAAGATACATCATCCTGTATTAGAGTGGGTCCTGATCTAAATGCCATTGTCCTTCCATTGGCAGAGAAATGTGGCCTCTTAGACAAGGAAGGAAGAAGGCTGCTCTGGGATGACCCAGGCAGAGAGTGGAAGCATGCACTGCAAAGCAAGCAAGCCAAGGACTGCAGCAACTGCCAGAAGCTAGGAAGAGACCATGAAGGGTCCTAGCCTGGAGCATGCAGATAGAGCAGAGGGCAGGAGGCTCCTGACCTCAGGCTCTGCCCTCCAGAACCATGGTCCAGCTTCCAGTTTTAATGCCACACAGATTGCAATAAAGAGGTATGGTGACTAGAAAACTAATACTGGCCCCTCTGGTGAGCCTTTCAATTGTTCTGATTTTGAATTCCAGAACTCTGTTTGCATACTTTCCTGAATTTCTTTGAGTATATTGTAAAAGCTGAGTGCCCAGGAACTAGTGAGATCCATGTCTGTACTTCCTCAGAGATAGTGTCAACTGGCTGCTTTTTTCCCTTGATTTTCTGCTTATGTTGGGAGATCCTGATCCTGTACACTCCCAGGGTCAGTGATTCCTTTGGAGGCCCCCCTGGGCTCACAACAAGGTGGCACAACATGAGTGAGATGTCTGCCAGACAAGCTCATAAGAGCCTGATTGCTCAAGGTGTTCATTGGTGCCATCTTCCCAGCACATGGGTAGATTCTAGTACCCCAGGAGGAACTGGATGTTTGGCTTTAGTCATTATGTGTGTGAGAAGTCCAGCACCGTGAGCCTCTCTCATCAGAGAAGGGCGCACCTGTGCATTTCTGGATTCCCAGGAGTGTGTCAGAACTTCCCTCATGACCCAGCTCTCCTGTAATGCTGTTGGGTTAGTCTGTCTTTTATCTAAGGGAAGTTGTCAGCCACTTCACGTATCAACAAAGTTAAATGTTGCCTTGATAGTTTTGACATTTGGGCTTGGGACCATTGTACTTACCACCATGGGCAAGCTCATGGTCAAAGCAAACTCTGGCTTGTTTTGACAGACTTAATTGTGTACTGGAAAATAACGTTGTCCAGGACAATAATTTGGGGTAATTTTGGATGTTTTAATGTTGCTTGCAGAGTTCTCGCTATAAATGAGAGTCAATAGAGCACTTTGAGTAGGGGAGTGGCAAGAACCAATTTGAGTTTGAAAAAGAGTTCTCTGCTTACTAGTGTGAAAACTCCTTGATGGCCAGAGAGTTCAAGTGAGGAAGATACTGAAGTGTGTGTTTGGAGGTGCTAGAGGGCTGTGGCCTCCCTCAGACAATGACAGGGGACATGGATCCCATGTAAAGATGCCATGGTCCCAGGCTAACTTGGAATGCAGAGGCTGAAGTTACTGGGGGTGAGAGCAGCAGTGGGGCCTAAGGGTGCAGTGAAGGACCTAAGCAGCTGTGTCCTGTGCAAGGCCTTCAGCAGTAACAAGGAGGTAGAGAGTTAGATGGAGCTGGGAGGGGCAGGAGAGGGGTCCCTGGCCCAGGGGGCTGCGACATGGCCTCTCCCACTCTGCCTTTCTCCAGTGCCTTCCATGACCAATGCAGATGTCTTGATCTCAGTCTTCAGATCATGACTGGTTGGTACTGAATAGTACAGGTGTCTCATGGACAGTTCCTCAGAAGGCATGGAGATGAGGGAAAAGGCTGTGCACTGCTGAGTTCCTGGTTGACTCAGCCTCACACCCAGTGCCTTTTTTGTTTCAAAAGCAGAGCTAGGGAGAGAGGTGTGAGACTGGAACAGCTTGCACTGGGACAGGCTGAAGCCAGGAGCCTAGGCCTCTGAGTCTTCCACCTGGGAGGCAGAAGCCCCAGTCGTTGAGCCATCTTCTGCTGCCTTCCCAGGTTTGTTAGCAGGAGTTGTATTATAATTGGAGCAGCCTGGATGCAACCCAGTGGAAGCTCCTATCACAAGGAGCAGCTTAACCCATGGCACCAGAACTCCACACACCTACTTCGCACCTCAGCGGTTTGGATTTCCTAGGGGTTTTGGTTCCCTGGCTCAGGTAGTTGCTGAGTCCCATTCTTAGCTGTGTTACCTGGACTGGACCACAAGCGTGGGTGTTCTGAGATGCACAGGTGAAGGTGAGAAGTGCCAGGTTGGCAATCAGGGATTTGAGAGTTAGATTGAATCTCCTGGTTGAGGGCTGATGAAACCATAGCGGGCCATTAAGGTCCTGTGATAATTTGGCCATCGACCAATATTCCAGGGCAGGAGGCAGGAGCATGTCCCTGACATTGGCATGTGAGCCTATTTGGTCAATGGTAACCCTCCATGGTTGGAATGATTAGAGGGGAAAAACTGCACTTTATATAATGTGAATGGGTACTACTTGGAGTTCATTGAAGCTTTTGCCTTGCTTTAATTTGATATGAGTGACAGAGAAAGAGATGGAGGCATAGAGCTCCCATCTACTGCTTCATCCCCGAATGACACCTAAATGCCTGCTGTGGACAGGGAACACAAGTGAGGGCCTGGGAACTCAATCCAGATTTCCTCTGGGGTGGCAGGACCCCAGCTACTTGGGCCATCACTGCTGCTTTCCAGGGTTGCATAGGCAGGAAGCTGGCATAAGTATTCAGAGCAGGGGTTAAATCCAGACTTGACCACTAAGCCATTCACATAACCCTGGCTCCATATTTGCTGAGTAATGCAGAATATATGACATTACACATTTTCCTTCTGAAAACTGTCATGGTCAGAATCCTCCCAAAAGGAGGAGGAGATGAGAAGCTCAGGGGTGGTGGTTTGTTTCTTAAAAAATGTACACAAAAACACATGCACAGAAAAAGAGAGACAGAGAGAGAGAGAGAGAGAGAGAGAAATATGAAGAACTTCTGACTGCTGCTTCACTTCCCAAATACAGAGGTGGGGCTGGGCCTGACTGAAGCCAGAAACTCCATCCTGTGCTCTCACATGAGTGTCAGGAACCCAAGCACTGGGGTCATCACTGGGGCCCCCTAGGATACAAGTGTGCAGGAAGCTGGATCAGAAGCAACAGTGGGACTCTGTCTCAGGAACTCCATATGGAATGGGGGTGTCCCAAGCAGATGGCAAACCAGTTCTGCCTCAACAGGTACTTCAGATGCGACTTGGGTTTGATGAGATTGACATCCTGAGGAGTCCATGCCAGCTATTTAGGGATGCACCTGTACTGGCATGTATGTGGGAATAGGTATTTCCTAGAGATTTCCAGGTGATGCAGCTCAGTTGGGGGTTTGATTTGTGTGAGAGAGAGCAAGAAGGAGGAAGATAGCATTCGAGGTGGTAGCAACAGGGTTTTGCTGGTGTGTGGGACGTGGGCCATAGGAAGGAAGATCTGTGTCTGGCTATCTCCTTCTCTTTGTGCTGCTCTCTCTACAAGTAAAATGAAAATAAGTCTTTAAAATCTTCATTAGCTCTTATTTTAGAAAAGATAGCCCTGTTCCTGGAGCTTTAACCTCTGAAGTGTGTCAACACTGTGCCCCCAGGAATTGCCCTATTACAGTCTGTGTTTCCTACCTACGTTTGAGCTCCAGCATAGGGCTGTGCTCAGTTAAGCTGGGATTCTCTGCCTCTGCCAATCAAGGCAATTTCTGGAGGTGTGTTTTGCCAGTGACCTCACTTTTCTGTGGGATGCAAGATGAGTTGGTGAATTCAGGTGTTAAGTTTTGTCTTGTGGTGTGGTTGGGAGTGACTTTTGATACACTTTTACATCTTTTAGCTCACATGTACAATCAATCCTTCTTTAAAAAATGGGACTGTAACTTAGCTTGTTTCTCATGAAAATAGTCTCTTCCCTTCCCCTTTCCAGATCAGAATGGAAGAGATGGAGTGAGGACTTCCCCCCATGTTGGCAATCAGATCACCCAGGAATAAGTGACATCCTAGAATTACTGTTGTCCTTGGTTATTGTGGAGTGATGTGTTTTCTTCCTCTATTCTTCCTAGCCTGTGAGTGTTGATGCTGGGTGCATGCTCTCTGCTTGAGATGTCAGTGTAGGAGATTTCCCTAAAAGATAAAGTGTGCATGTGTGGAGTGTAGATTGCTGGTGTGTGCAAGGTGTGATCCAGCCGACCACAGCTCAGAGAGGAAGTGAGAAGTGGCTGCTGCCACAGCAAGGTTGAAACTTCCTGTCTCTTCCTGTCCTGAGCTAACTAGATCTTGGGCCCCATTCCTAAAGTTCAGCCACAGATTTTCTTTTTTTTCTTAAAGATTTTATTTACATGAATGCCTGATTCCACAGGGAGAAAGGAGAGGCAGAGAGATAGAGATAGAGATAGAGATAGAGCGAGAGAGCGAGAGAGAGAAGTCATATATTTGCTGGTTCACTCTCCAATTGGCCGGAATGGCCAGTGCTGCATTGATCCAAAGTCAGGAGCCAGGAGCTTCTTCCCACTCTCCCACATGGGTGCAGGGGCCTATGGACTTGGGCCATCTTTTACTGCTTTCCCAGGCCATAGCAGAGAGCTGGATCAGATGTGGAGCAGCTGGGCTTCAACCTGGCCCATAAGCTTGCCAGCACTGCAGGCCATGGCTTCACCCACTACACCACAGTGCCAGCACCTCAGCCACAGCTTTTCTGCTCAGGAGGCAGTCATTATGGCCATTGACTCACTCTGGTCTCCAGCCCCTGTTACTTGCACCATAGGAACATTTTCCCCTAGGATCTGACCTCCTGTCAGCACTCACACAAGCCAGCATTTCTCCCACTGGACCTAGAGAGCACAGACACGAAAGAAAAAGAAAGAATATGGTGTTTAATATTAAATAAGTGAATGTTATCTTGTGGGGAGCCAGTTGGAGGCCATGAAAGGAGCTGGCCAGGGGCAGAGTTGTGCTTGTCCTGGAGGGGAGGGAGGAAGGGTCACGCGGGAGGATCTATATCCATAGGTGCTGAGAAACTGGGTATGAAGATGCAAGGAAAGGTGGGAAGAACAGTCACAAAACTGCCCCTGGGAACAGCAGGAGGGAGACAGAGGGCAGGAGGTGCAGTTGACATTTCTGTTGTCCGTGATGGAACAGAGCAGGGTGAAGTGTCCATGGCATCCTTCTGTGGGGAGCATAGGGACTTGACTGTCCCTATTCTGGGCTCATAGAGTGGTGATTTTTGCTTTTCTCATGCCCCGTGGAGGAGTGTATGGGGGTGTGGTGTCCCTGGCCACCTCCAGTGCAGGAGCACAGGGTAGTACGGAGTCCAGAGCTTCCTTCCATGGGGAAGCATATGGGGTGTGGCGTCCATTGGCACCTCATGTGGGAGAGCATAGGGTGGTGTGGTGTCCATGGGCTCCTCCTGAGGGAGAGAGTAGGGGAGTGTGGTGCCCAT